GGTTGGCGAACTCCCATGCACCCTCCAGGACCCTGCTGAGGGTGTAGAGCTGGTCCAGTGTTCCACGACCAGGACGAAAACCACACTGCTAACCTGCACCCTAATTCATACAGGAATTAAATTAATTTATATCTACTCATTTGTGTAATTAAGTGTTTTAATGATTTGGCCGATTCATTGATTAATCAAAAAAATAATGACAGATTAATCGTTTATCAAAATATTTGTTAGTTGCAGCCCTTATTGAGTGCTGTACATGCTCATACTTCTCATGTTCATACTTTCAGTTGGCTACCTTTTCTAAAAATCCTTTCTGTATTGGTCTTATGTAATCTAATTTTCTGAGATACTGAATTTGGAATTTTCATTAGTTGCCAGTTATAATCATCAAAATTAAAAGAAATAAACAGTTGAAGTATAACAGTCTTTGTGTAATGATTGAATACAAGTTTACTATTTTGAATTAAATTACTGAAGTAAATAAATTTATTTTAAACAACATTTAAAATATAAAAGGAAAATTCAGACAAAAAATATCTAAATTGAGCATTAAGACCTGCTGCATGAACATAGATGTTTGTTTTATTATGGCAAAACATAACATTGAGAATATTGATTATATCTGTTAATCTTTGACCTTTGTTCTGCTTTAGAGCCATCTTCCTGAGCTGGTTACCTGCAATGGAAATGGCACATCACTGGTTTCACAAAACCTACTGGGTTCAACCAACCAATCCAGAAACAGCCTGGAAACTTCAGACACAAACAGGTGAGACCTGTGGTGTAATGAAAACTGAAAATCTTTTGACCTTTGCCTGATAAAATAAACTAATCCAAAGACAAAAATATAGAACACTGCAATTTATGACACTAGTGCTGTTGCCTTCTTGTAATGATGGCTGCTGGTTTTAAATTTTTTTTATTATAAATCCGTAAAATATTCAAATAAATGAGTCAAGTCATAATGTGTAGTTTGCCTAAAGTAAGTCTATGCTCATTAACAGTGACTCATCTGAGGACACAGACTCATCTCTGGCTACAGCTCTGACTGAAAACCTCAGTTTGTTCAGGTGAGACTGGGACTCTGGCATGAACTGGCTAAAATCTGCATGTTCTTATCTAATGGGTTGCTGTAAACTGCACAGGTTCCAGAAGTTTCTTAACCCCGGCAGCAGCTACCAACAAGCACTTTCTGATGTGAGTTCATTGAAAATGACAAATCTAAATGTAAGTTTGCAAGGGCTGGGTACAAATATCTATTTAATTGATCTTGAATCTATTTAACTTAAATTTGCGAATATCTATTCATGGGGTAAGAGATCAATTTTTATAGCTTTCGACAACAAGTTGTCTGGGTCAAAACAAAAACTAACACTATCAGCTGACTCTACATGGGACTAAAAGGTAACAGGGGGCATGGTGACTTTTGTTTGTAAGTATTTACACCCGTATACGGTGGTGGAAAACAGACTTGAAGTGTCACATTCATGTGCTCGAACCAAACTACGGTTTGGTTCGTAAAGATCTGACTCAAACTGTTCTCCTCGGGTTGTATAAATGTGTAAAATACGACATTCTAACAAAATTGTTTAATTTTTTTACCAATATTATTTTTAAACCTTAAAAAATGTCTTAATGAAATTCACAGTGATGGAATGTTTTAAAAAAAAATTAAAAAAGTTTTATTGGATATAACAGAAGATAAACATTACAAATATACAATATTCATTGCTGAAAGAGAATTCTACTTACAGCAGGTAAAATAAGTATTGAACACGTCACCATTTTTCTCAGTAAATATATTACTAGAGGTGCTAATGACATGAAATTTTCACACATTACAAATATACAATATTCATTGCTGAAAGAGAATTCTACTTACAGCAGGTAAAATAAGTATTGAACACGTCACCATTTTTCTCAGTAAATATATTACTAGAGGTGCTAATGACATGAA